AGATACTATATCTTAAATTTTTTTTAATTTTATTAGTTTTAGTCTTTTTCACTTAAGTTTAACTTTTGTGTTTCAATATTTAATTAATATTTTTTAATAATAATCTTTGAACTTTTATATAAAAATATTTATTTTAATTATTTATAATTTTAGTTTTTTTTTAGATTTAATTTATAATTGATAATAGCTATTAATTAATAATTAGATAATAGTTTAAATACTAAAGAAAATATTTTTATTTAGTTAAATAAATAAATATTAATAATGATAAAATTTGATAAAATTTTAATTTTTTCTTTTTTTTTTATTAGTTTATAAATTATTGTAATATAAAAGTATCCTTTAGACTTAAAAACAGTCTTTTGTTTTTTTAGTTATAATAATTAAATCATAGAAAATTTATAATACTTATATTAATATTATTTATTGGTTTATCATTTCAAGAAAATTAAGATTGGCAAATATAATAAATGCTTTTTTAATCATAAAAATTCTATCTAAATCTGGATTTGTATTAACTAATTATACTATAATACAAAATTTAGAATATATTAAGACTCTTAATAGCTAATTGTAAAAAGTGTTAAATAAATAATAATTTTGTAATAAAATATTTGATTTACTTAAAAGTAAATAAAAAAAATTAAAAATCATTATAATATATGTTATATATAAAATACTATTAAATAATGTTAAATTTTACTTTATTTTCTACTTTGTGTAATATAAAACTAAATTTTGTAATGATAAGAATTGCTTCTACATTACTTTTGAATTTTGCAGATCTTCTAAAATCAATAGAATTAACAAAACTATAGAAAAAATTATAATTTTAAAGTGTGGTTTTTTATTAAAAAAAATAAAAAGTAATGTAAAAATCTTTGGATTATTGTATACAAAGTAAATTTAACACTATAATCTCCATGATCTAATAGTAATGTTAAATTTTATTTAGTTAAAAAGTGATTAAAATATTGAAACTTATATCATTTTTTTTTCATCAAAATTTTTTTAATTGATAAAAACGTGGTTATTTAGAAAATAAGATTTTTCAGATAACGATACTGATGAAAATATATTTTTATGATAAGTAAACATGAAATTTTATGTATTTTAATATTATAGTAAAATTATTTTCCTTTTTTTATTAAGGAATGGGAATCATTATTAAGTAAATGAATTTAACTAAAAATATTCATATAGGTGGATTTTATCCTTTACATATTTATTATTACTAAAATAGTAAGTAGTAAAATATTTAACCACTTTTGATTGCAAAATAATTTTGTATTAGTAAGTCATCAATGAGAGATTCATGAGAAATTAATGTAGACAGTCTATATAAATTTTGATCGTTAAAGAGAAAGATAATAAATGGTTAGATAAAAATTCTTTTAACTGTACCTTTTTTTTCCTAATTTATTTTATTTTATCTTTTGATCTTTGATCTAAAAATTGTAGTTGTCAAATATCATTTATTAATTTTTACTTATTAGAAAATGTTACTTTTTTTTTATATAAAAAAATCTAGATCAGGAGAAAATTTCAATTTTTTTTTCATTTTTTTTTGATAACCCTTTGAATACATCTTATAGTTTCTTTTGAACTTTTTATTCAAAACATTTTTCTTAGTTATCTTAGTTATTATTGCTAAATTTAAACGCATAAATTTTTATTACGTGATGCTCTAATTTATATATATTTTTGTTTGTTCTACCTGTATGAATTTTTTTACTAAAAAAATCTGTTTAATCTGAAGTTAGATTTATATGAAGTTACCTGTGTAAATTTTTTACTTAAGATTATTCTAGTTAACAACAGTCTTTTATAAATCTTATTTTCTAAATATAAAAAAAAATTTATTGACATTTATCAAAAATTTTAGGTCAAGGGAATTATAGTCCAAGAGAGACCATCTTCTATTACACAAAATTTTTAAATTTAATAAGAAGGTAATGCATTGATTAACTAATTGAAATCGTGATTTTGAAATGAAATCACATGATTTAAAAAGTTTATCATATTAAAATTATTAATTAACCAAGAAATTAAATCTTAAAAACATATTTATTATGCATATTGTAATTAATATAATAATAAAATAATAAAATATATTTTCAAAATATATAAATATATAAAAATTTTACAATTTTAAAAATGGTTTTTTTGCATATTCTAATAAATTTTCCATTCTTATAATATTATTTTTCGTCTTATCTACATCATTTAAATTATTTTTGGCTACATCTTTTTAGTATCTTCTTCAACAGATTCTTGTTTACCTGATCTCTTTGTAAATCTTGTTATAAAAGCATCAATATTTTTCTTGACCTTATCTTGAAGATACCCTAAATATATCAAATATTTAAATTGGTATCTTTATAGACAATGGTTATAGTAACCATACTTACATGTGAAAATAATACTATCAATCAAATATTTAGTATATTCACATTACAAATAATCACAAAGAATGGTGGTATTTGGTTTTCTAGAAGTAATAAAACCCTGCAGAAGGTGATGATCAGTCACTTCATAACCTAAAGAAGGTAATTTAAATGTATTAATACCATTAGATGATGATTTAATAACTGAAGGATATATATGATGCATTTGGTATATTTTTGTAAATATATTCAAAAGTTGTATAATACACTTCTGGAAAAGAGTATTCAATTGCTTCAGAATATATGAATATTTAATAGCATTTACAAAATGTTGGCTAAATTCATTTTATTCTGCTGCTGAAAGATGAAATATGTTTCTTTCTGCAATTGTTAAGCTGTGGAAAACTTAGCGATATGTCATCATATAACACTGTGAATAAATTTAACAGGACGATTGCTTAGAGAATCAAGATTATTAGTAATCATATTAAAAATTGGATGATTGGTTTCCATCCAATAAAAAACATCAGAGAAAAATATTAAGAGAACACACTTGAAATTCTTTTGATCAAACTGAAAAAACAGATTGCTTCAGCAATACATACAAGCTTCTTCATAAGTAGGCCAATCACCTTCTCAATAGTGTACTACGTAAATGTCAAAAACTAAGAGAACTAAATTATTCAATAGATCCGTTAAATATAAAAACTCAATATTTTTGCTTGTATAACCAATTTTTAAATAAATAACCTCAGATATATCAAATCACGCTATACGCATGATATGGAGAATTAAGTTAATTCTTCATAGTTGCAGTTTTTACCAAGATCCTTATTCGCACTAAATATGTTTTATAGATGTTAAAAAAAAGAGTTCTGTATAAAAACAAGCTCACAAACATTTAGCAATACATGAAAAGGATCCATCATGGGCAAAAAGAATACAATAAAATGAGAAATAGTTTCATTGCTGATGAGAAGATATTGCGCAATAGCCTTATGAATGTAAAACTGTCTAGGCCAATCTGCAATAATAGGAATAGTGTGATTGAAAAGGTACTCTTGTATCAAGCTCTTGATCATATATGATTTAGAGAGCTTTTGTATATCCTCCTATATCTTTCAAGTCATTTTCAACAAAATCAATGAGAATAGAATTTTGTATATACTGATTACTCTTTTTCCCCACTAGTTTATCATTGTAACTGTGTATCATTAATCTGCCCATAACCTCATCATCAGGGCAATCTACTCCTATACTATTCTACCTACGATCTTGATATGAAAAACCTAGATATACGATGTATTATTTTTCAAAATGTCTAGTGATCAATTCAGTATCAACAATCTTTAGATTAATTACTCTATTTCATAGTATTGCGGGTATTAGATACGGATTTACCATAATCATTACCATATGTGCTGTCTAAGATGTACTAGTAGTATCAGGTTATCTCTGAACATGAATATTATGATAATCTTTTATGTTCAGAACAAATGAATTTTCTGGATGATTTATAAGAGCCTTTTCTACATATTCTTTATGCATATCAGACATTCTTTTTTTTTGCGATCTATCAATTTTGACATTGTAGACACGCTAAAATTAGCTATTGTATTCAGGCCTTCATTGCTTGTATCTACTGAATTTAAATAAAATCTAAGATTGAATTTAAAAAAACAAATTTTCATATTATTTAGTGATGTGAGTAAATAACATATAAGAACTATCAATTTTTTTATACAGTCTATCGTTTGTTTGTGGTTGAGCTGCCAAATAAAGCTGGTCAAAAAAATCCTTCAAATTCAGTTTGATTTCTTGAAATATCCTTCGCATTTCATCAAACGAGTATATAGACTGTTCTTTCTTAAAATGTTCTCTTTCGTAAAGTATCTTTGCCATCACCCTAATAGCTCCAGTAAAGTCAACCTTCATACTTACCTTCTCGTTCATAATATTTTCACCTGTAGCTTATTCGTCCATATTTTTTACTCTCTTACGACCTTTTTTTAAAGGATTTTCTACAAAACGCATATAGCATACATTACATAAAAAAACACCTTCACTCTATGTTAACTTTACTAAGTCATTATTCTCCATTTTTCTCACTTTAACGAATGAAATTTAGTCAAATTAATAGTTTGGCATTCTGTATATTTCTTCATTTCAGACATATCTTTAACGGCTAAATAACAATGTAAAGGTGCGGGATTAATGGGGATTAAACAAATATATTGCAGAGCAGTGTGAATACTTCAAGTTTGCTTAATGCATTTGCTCACGTTTTATGGCGAAGATAGTTTGCGCAAAGATCATCAAAAAGTACAGTACTGTAAAATGTATAAAAAAAAAATTATTAAATCGTGTAACCATTCTCCTTATTTGGGACGGTCCCTCCTAAAAAGGATTATAGTGTCAAATTTACTTTGCATATAAGTAAAATCATTCTTATCATTACCAAATTTAGTTGCGCTTGCAAAACTCGTCAAAAATTTTGTTTTAAAAAAAAAAAAAAATCCCCAAAAAATATTTTCAAAAAAATTTTTTAACTTCTCAACTTCCATTTCAAAAGGTAATATTATTTTAGAAGAACAAGAATAGCATAAAAACACAATGACAAGTTCAAAGGTTTATTTTTTAGACTAATTTTAACTTCGTTCATAATATACACGCTTACAGCAGACATTTCAAAAAAATAATAAAGAAGCAAGTTCATCACGTTCTTCTATCACAAAAAGTCTCAAAAGACTACTTCACAATCTTCTTTAGGTGGAACATCACGTACCAGTACCGTTGCTCATACAATCAGTCCCACACCTTCAGTTTTATCAAATATAAGTGCTTCGAGTGTAATATAGGCTAACGTGTTATATTAACTTTTCCTTTTTATGTGTATTAAATAGGCCAAATACAACTACCAACAAGCGTATTAAACTTTGTCAAAGAAAAACAATTGGATTGCTCCTTTAGGTATATACAAGGAAACTTGCCATGTATGTTCTTACGTCTGAATATTGAAACATCATATTTAGGTTCCTGTTTTAAATGTTAGTGCATTGGCCATGATGCGAAAGATTGTAGAAGCAGTATTCGTGAACGCCCATTTAAGCAAGGATATGTTACACCAGAACAACTTTTAAAATCATTTGGTAGAGTCAAAGATTGATACATGTAATTTTCTTTATATAATTCACATTCCTTTTTGGTAATAAGAGTAAAATAAATACTGGAGTTGCTGGGTAGCAAAGTATTTTTTTTTTACTTTTATTATCCTCTTAAAATAGTTTAATTATATAATTTTCGTTTTCTTTCTCATAGCAAAAGCAAAAAAAGATTCAGGGTTGCTGGGTCACAAAATTTTTTTTCGCTTTTGTTATAAATTATCTGACAAAAATTCATTTGGTGTGCTGGGGTCAGCAGGGTGAATTTTTTTTAAGATAATTTGATTTTCTAAATTAAAACAAACATATTAGATAATTTGCTTGCTTATTAGTTTGAACAAATGGGCGGATGCACTCAAATATTGCTATAATTTATCACACAATAAAATGAAAATGATAAATGATTTGCAAAGTTTTACTGTGTCTGTAATTGTATTTTTTCTATCAATCTCACATTTGTAAAAACTAAGGATGTTAAACGGCCCTTAAAAAAATTTTGAAGTTTTAAATTTACTAATTCTAGAAGGGCTCAACAGGAGATCTTTTTTTACATAAAATTTATGATATTTTTACGCAGTTTTACCACGGCGACTGTGTTTTATTTGATAATTTTAGTTTTGCGTAAAACCCATTTCTCTTACAAAAAACCCATTTCTTACATTTCACCTTGCCAGTCTGATAAGTAGCTTTTTTTTTTAAATATATATCAATAAAAAAGAAAAAAATTACAGCTGTTTTCAAAATAAATGCGGTAGGAACCTTCACCAGATGATCGAGGAGAATGTTGCCTACTAGATGCCTAGCAAATCTTTTATAGAAATTTGAATCCGGATGGTCGTGTTCCTTCTCTTTCTTTTACTTAGTAAAATACTAATATGGTTTAATTTTTTTTCTTAATAGGACTGACTGCCACGAGACTATTAGCGATTGCACAGAAACGACAATCCAAAAATCAAAAATCAAAATAATTTTCACGAAATAAGCAAAGAAAAATGATGATAGGAAAGGATTTCGAAACAGGAAGTGTTTTTTTTTATTACTATCATTTGATGTGATATAATGTGAGATGTTTATACCGAAAAAGAAACTTAAAGCAAAATCTAGAAGAGATTATTTGAATGAACGAATCTCTAATGAATGAAAATAATTTTTTAAAAATCAAATTAATTTTATGAGAAATAATTATGGATTACGGAGGCTAGATCCATATGATGTACAATAAATTATTGAAAAGTTTTTACAAAAATAAATTGATTTCGTTTAATAATCCATTTTATTTTACTGCGCCACGCTTTCTAACCAATCATATGTTTGGGATTACATTTTGTCAGAACAAAAAAAACTTGATATTTGCATCACGAATATTTTTTCTCATTTTGATAAGTTCCAAGTCAACCTTCCTCATTTTTTAGTGACAATTCGTTTACTATAAGTTTAACGAGTAAGTAAATTAGAATCGAAAATAAGACATCCTGATCAACTCTGCCAATATTGTCATCATAGGAGGAAGATTTATTATATTCTTGTTTTGCTTTCACGCTTTCAATCGTATTCCAGAAGATATCGATGTCTTCATAGTTAGAATGAAAAAATACGAAGGTATTAGCATTATTTTTTTCTCTTCAAATAATTCTAAAAATTAAAACCAAAATAGGAATCACTCTTGGATTTTACTTGATCTTTGGTAGGTAATCTTGTTCTGAACCAGGGTTGTAAAAAATGTGATTTTTTTTAGGAGTGAGTTATTGACAAACCTGTGTTTATTAAAATTATTTTTCCTTATATTTGAAATGCAGATTTGTAATACGAAAATTGTGGTTTTCGGAATTCATGCACACGGATAAAATACTGTGATTGGTTACGGTAAAATGCTAATCGGCCAACGGCCAAACATTAAGCTTTTTTTAATTGTAAATTAATCGATCGTGTTTTAATCTTTACTTATCAAACGTGAAAGGTATATTATTGATCTCAATTTAAAAATAAGAATGCCTCATTATAATCCAAACAGACTTAAGGTCCAATTAAAACTGGCTGTTGCTCGACTTAAACATATGCAACAGAAGAAAAATTCGATCAATAAACAGCAACGTAGAGAAATCGCTACGTTATTAGAAAGTTCAAAGTTAGAAAGTGCTAAGATACGGGTAGATGTTTACAAATATGTTCAATGATGTTCTAAAATGTTATTTATTTTACTGCTGAATATCAATTTATAATTTGTTTTTTTATTTTTGTGAACTCTCAGGTTGAGGGAATCATTCGAGAAGATTATCATATTGAAGCATTGGAAATTCTTGAGCTTTATTGCGAACTTCTTATGGCACGTTTTGGACTTATTGAACAAATGAAGTAAGAAAAAACCAATGTGTTTTCTAAAAATTTTCAAGTTAAAAAATAATAAAAATTTTGATTTATAGACAATGTGATCCATCAATAATAGAAGCAGTAAATACATTGATTTACGCTGCACCTAGATCAGAAATAAAAGAATTAGGACAAGTAGGTAGTAAGTTATGAACTTCAAATATTTATGTTTCTATCATTAATAATATTTTAATTGATTGTATTGTATAGATACGAGACCAACTATTTGGGAAATATGGAAAAGAATTTGCGATGAACGCGAGTGAAAATAAAAATAATTGCGTTAATGAAAGGGTGAATAATTAAAATTTAATTTGCAAATTCATTATTATTGTTTATTATTATTCATTATTATTATTAACTTAATTAAAATTATTAATTCTATAGGTTATACAAAAACTTTCGTTCAATACACCCGATTCATTTTTGGTAAATCGATATCTCGAGGAAATTGCTAAAACTTATAATGTAGATTGGAAAGCGGAAATCGCGGATATAGATGGTTTGATTTCGGTAAATTTTCGTAACATTAGATGATTCACATTTGCAACCAATGTTAATATAATATTTATTTGATAGATGGATGCGTTAATGGATTCACAAGCACTTACAAATAAAGACGGAAAGTCCGAACCGACGTATACTGCATTACCAAATATGGATTTATTGATGTCGTTAAATAATGATTCACAAGATAAAAATCATCAGTCGGTAAGCGGGCGAAAATGAAGAAATGATGACAACCAACCAACTTTCTTCAATCTGTTCGATATCAAATTGACCTACCAATACTTCACTTATTTCACCACTTTCCAAGGCATCAACATCAAATTCAAACACTTCAGATCATCTCCTTCCGGATGTTCCAATTGGCCCACATACAGATTATTCAAAAAATAAATTAGGAATTTCTCCGTCTTCTATTGTAAACCCATCCAATGTTACTAATAATGATGAAAATGATAATAATAACCGTGTTCCCTCATCAACACCTCCGTATTCAAAACTCAATTCCACTAATCTTAAAGCGAAAACAAAAACAAATGGGTTACCAGATGATGACGAATTGGCAAGAAGGTTTGAAGCTTTGAAACGCAGATAGTTATTAATATTTTTTTTTTTTTTTTTGTTTAATTCTTCATTAAATTTTTTTATCCCTGTATTAAGTTAATTTTTTTTTTGTCCGTTAGATATTGATTTTTTAATTAATAAATATTTGCTCATCTTATTTTATTTATTTGATACAAAAATTAATGCTGTAAAATATTATTACGCTATATATACAATAACTACTAAATAAAAAGTCATTAATTCCTCACTTATGATTTTAATAAACTAAGCTGTCACTAGTTGTTTCTGTGGTTTCTTTACTTTTGCTTTCTGTTGTGAAATTGATTCCTCGATATCTTCTGTAATATCTTCACTTACAACAAGATCATGCACAGGAACCGCAGGAAGATTTTCCACAATCTAAAGGAAAGAAAGTTCAAATATAAATATAATAATTTACTATAAAATAATATTTCAAATTATTTACTTTGTCTTTTTCGATTTGAGCCAATTCAGCTAATATCTCGTCTTCATCATCATTAGTTAATTTTCCACTTAATAATTCCGAAATTTCCTGTTTAAATAATATATATTTATTTATCAAACAAAAATATATAATATAACAAATAACACAAAATTTTGAGGTAGTTACATCTTGGTAAGCTATAGCATCTGCGGTATCTTCCATCAATTTCTCAACTTTGTCAATAGACATTTCTTTATGAATTTCTTTTAGAATTAAATTTCCTTGTTCTAATCCTGCCAGCACATCTTTTTCCACTAATGCAAATTCTATCGATTGAGTCTGTTTTAATGAAATAAAAAAATGAAATTAATGAAAATTTTAAGTTAATATTCAAGAATAGTTTATACAAACCAACTGCTCAAGGTTCGACAATTGTGCATCAGTTTTAGTAAGTAATTGTTCTTGATATTTCTTTTTCCTTAAAGCTAAAAGTGCAACACGTTTATTGTTTTTAATTAATGCATCTTTTGCTATTTGAGTTTCTTTTTCCGCAACCGTTTGAATCTTCAAAATAAAAGAATATATTATTAGTAACTGTAAAAAGTAATTTGTTGAACCAATAAGTTTTATTTTCTTTTTACCTTTTTTTGATATTGTTTTAACTTATCACGCTGAACTTTGAGATCAAGTATAGCACGATCATGGGAAGTTATTTTACTATTTTTATTTCCCATTTAGTCATTTGGTTTCCCTGATAATTAGTAATAAAGCGAGTTTATTCAGGATCTATCAAAAAATTCCCTATTGGCTGATTGTATTACCGATATGATTTGAAGTTTGTTTTTGATCGGCCTGATATATCAGAAGGGATATATCAGGAAGATGCAAATTTGATTCATTTTGTGATCAACCAATTATATTATAATTTTTGGTAATAAAGTTGGAGGGGAAGGATGGTTTTACGATAGTTCGCGACGAGAAATAAGCCCTGTTAAATTCTAGATCGGATCGGATTGACCGCAAAATGTGCCCTTAATTATAAATCGATCAGCGGTCAGTCGAACTGATTCACGAAAATAGGTGTTCGCCTCTGATCGATTCTGATAAACTAACGTGACGCGTGCCAGAATCCAACCATATTTATCGTTCGGATTTTTGATCGGGTTTTGAGTTGATAATTATTGGCAGGCGAACTTGTGTAACTCGATCAGCAATTCGATTTTTCCGAACAACAAAAAGGTGGATTTTTTTGATCACATAACAAAAACAAATGGTTGATTTGGTTTTTGTTGCAATCAGAAATCCCCAACTCAATTCTGAGTTTGATCACATGTTTGGATTGGTTAACGGATTTTGCGACCAAAAACCCGAACGATCAGAAATGAACAGGCCTATTGTTTACAACATGATTCGATCGAGCCGTACAAATTGTGCTCAACTGTAACTACGATTTGATTTTTCCGATCCGAACGATCCGATCCAGAATTGAACGGGGCTAGAGCTCCTCGGTTCATTAAAATTTTTGCTATTTTGCTGGTGCGTTTGGTGCAGAATCCGATACAAATTTCAGCCAATCATATCTCTTGAGATCTGCATCAACCGAAACCATTAAAAATAAAAAATGAATTTTAAGCTCTACACCTTTTTTTTTAAAAGTTTTTTTTTTTCAATTTCAAACTAAACATTATTGGCTGAATTTTGGTGTTACAAAACAAAAGGGCTGCCCAGGTTTGGAATAGGAATTTCTGATAGTCCAGTAAGCGAAACCATGCCTTTCTCTCTTCACAGTCATTCAGGTCAATTTTGTCAACATGCGACAGGAATGCTAGAGGAGATCGTTCAGGAGGCTATTAAAAAGAAATTTTTAGTATATGGATTGTCTGAACATTGTCCAAGATATAGAGTACAAGATTTGTATCCCGAAGAGGTAAATCAAAAGACAAAGATGTTTATATATTATACATTTTACTTACCTTTTATCTTTACCTTAGTCCCATCTTCAACCATCAGATTTAACAAAAGCATTTGAAGAATTTGTAAAAGAAGCACGTAGGTTACAGGAAAAATATAAATCTCAGATAACTCTATTAGTTGGGTTAGAATCCGAGACAATAACCAATACTTCGACTTCTGAAGTTCTCGACTTAATAAAGAAATATTCACTTGATTATTCTGTTGGATCTGTTCATCATGTACACGAAACTCCAATTGATTTTGACTTGGAATTGTTTGAAATTGCCCTTTCAAAGTCATCTTTTGAAGAAAATAAACAACAGATTGAAAATATTCATGAGGAAAATTTATTCGTAGCGTATTTTGATTCTCAATATCAGATGTTGCAAGATCTTAACCCAATGATTGTTGGTCATTTTGATGTAATAAGAATTTATCGTCCTAATTTTATTTTTACTGACTTAATTTGGGAAAAGGTGGAGAGGAATATAGATTATGTTATAAATTACGGTGGTTTATTTGAAATTAATTCTGCGGGATTTAAAGTTGGATTACCTGATGCTTACCCACAACGAGATATTTTACAAGTAAGTTAATCCTTAACTTTTAAGATGAATTGTGACCTGATAAAATTTTTAACCCTCTTTTTTTTTAAAAAAAAAAAAAAAAATTAAAAAACAAGATGATTTTAAAAAAGGGAGGAAAGTGTACAATTTCAGATGATAGTCACGGGGTTTTAAAGGTTGCATTGCATTATGATAAGCTGTATAGTTATTTAAAAGAAATGGATATAAATGTTTTACATTATTTACATTATGATATAGATGATAATATTGAAAACAGAAAAGTCGTCGTAAAAGAAATGAAAAATGTATTAGAACATCCCTTTTGGGAGCAATTTGACGCGTGAAATCCGGAATCCGATGCGTGTTCCGCGGAATTCATCCGGGAATTTCGCCGATCGTCCTAATTAATAAACGCGTGTTGATAAAAACTCCCGAAATTAATTGAGCGGTACGGTTTACAACCAATACAATTTTTCTTTCGTCTATATCTTATTAAATATTGTGAACCATTACTTCCTTTTAAAAAAATAAAAATAAAAAATTACAAATAATCTTCCTTTATTATCAAAATAAATGATGACTCCAATTATTGAAGAAACCAAAAAACCTCAAAGCATGCCGACTGGTCCTCGAAATGTGTTACGTTCAAATGACTCGGCAAGTCTTTGGAATTGTACACTTTCTCCAGGTAACATTTACAAATATCTGAAAGATTATAATCCGTAATGATTATACCATTTTGTTTCTTTCTTAGGTTGGTCCAGAGATGAATGCGACATTTTACGGAAAGCTCTCATGAAATATGGAATTGGAAATTGGGCACAAATTATTGGCTCAAATTGTCTACCGGGAAAAACCAATGCTCAAATGAATTTGCAATTACAAAGAATGTTGGGTCAGCAAAGTACAGCAGGTAGTAAAAAAAAAAAGTTGAATCTTCATTTCGTGTCAACGCATTATTAAAAGAATTCCAATATAATTCCTTTGTCTAAAAAAAAAAAAGAATTTGCCGGTTTGCACATTGACCCGTTGGTCATTGGAGAAAAAAATTCAAAAATCCAAGGACTGAACATAAAACGTAAAAACAATTGCATTGTCAATACTGGAAGTAAGTTTCTTGTAATTTATAGATTTGACGAACCCTTAACGGTTTCCAAGTTAATGTGACCATATGTGTTTATAGATAGACCATCACGTGAGGAAATCAAACGTAGAATTCAAAAAAATAAGGAATTGTAAGTGAATAAAGTATATTAATCAAAAGGTTTCTTTCCATTTATACAACTAATATGTTAACTAATACTTTTATAGATTCGAGATCCCGGAAGAAGAATGGAACAAGATAGAATTACCAAAACCGGAAGATGTAGGTATTACTTTCCAATGATTTCTTTTGACATAAAAAATTTATAACGTAAATAAATTACTAAACTATTGATAAAACCATTATGAATAAAGCCACAGACAAGTAAGAACGTTTAACGAGAAATCAAACGCGTTGACGAATTCTAATAACCATCTGTTGAATATTATGTTATCAGCCCTAAATTCAAAATACGAAGAGCTTCGTCGTTTGCAAGATGAACTAGCAGATGTACAAGCACAAATAGTCGAAATACGGAAAAAGAAACACGAAGAGGTTTTTTCTTCGTTTCTTTTTTTTTTTTTTTTTTTTTAAAAAAAAAATAATAATAATAAGAATAATGGTTTTTTAATCGAAGTATAACGTTTGAAAATTAAAAATTTATTATAAATGATTAGAGTCAGGAGATAATAACAAACGAGTTAAACGAGTCATCATCTATAAAAGAAGAAGTCAACTCTGACAATGCAAAGCAAAGGAGGTCAACACGTAAAAGTAAAAAGACAAGGCGTTCATAGGTAGGTCGAATAAAAATATCTAAGATTACTTTTCATCAACTTTTCTTGTAATATAATTAAACCATTCGAAATAGAAATATATTTAGATTTCTACTTTTTTCCTTTTTGCATGTACTTTTTCTTTTCCTGGTCAGAAAATTTCTCTAAACTATACCTCAACATCACCCTTGGCATTTTAACTGCATATTTGTCCAAAAAATTAACAAGATTTTTCTTAGATTTCTATAGAATAGAATTATTTTTTAAATTTTTTAAATTTGCTAGTATTATCAACTTTTGAAGTTATTTTATTTAGATTTACCTTGCCCACTTCTCTTAGCATCCATCCTGTAGCCTTATGAATTAGATCCTTCTCATCATTTAATAATATTTCAGACAATTTTGTCGTATCTTCAAACTGACCCTGATTAATAAAATATAATGTCGATACTATTGCAATTCTCCTATCCCAAAGGCGATCTGAATTTACCAACCTTCCAAACAGCCATGTTTTTTTAAGTTCGGGCTTATCTATAAGATAAGAACCAACTACGTGACTTGCTGAGATATCAACCAAATCCCAATTATCAATACCCTCTCTCATATCATTAAGATAGAATTCGAATAAAATTTTTTTTTCTTCTGAATCCTTAGAGATTTTATATTTATCAACCAAGTTAATGACCGATAATAGCCTTTCCTCGTGATATTTTGAATTTATAAGATCTTTTAGAACCGTAAATGGCAAAAAGCCAAGATTTTTTGAAATTGATCTAACATCAGGTACTCTTATCCCCAAAATAATATCTCCACGGTCATATTCTTTAACTCGTAAATATTTTTCAAGTATGGCTGCTCTTTTCTTGGATGCTTGAACTGCAAGTTTCGAATGAATGCTAGATAACGTCGGTTCAATCTTTGTCACACCTGATTCTGACTCTACAGTCACTTCCTTAACAATTGTTTTACGGGCGCGTTTTTTAGGCTGTGTTGAAATTTCGGTTTCAATGTGTTTTGATGTCCTTTTCCCTACTATCCGTACGGTTTTGTTTTTTTGTTTTAGCTTGCTATTTCGTGTTTCCACCATATCATTAAAAAAAAAAAAAAGGTTAAAAATAAAAAAGGTCATGGATTAACGCGCATCAAATTATTGTAACACAATCTCAGATCTTTAAATAAGATTATCATCTCGATAAGTTTGAACTTTTCTTGTTCCTCATAAATAAAAAAAAGGATGACGACGGTTCATAAAAAACCAGAAATATTTACTCATTTAACAAAAAAATTGACTTTCGGGTAAATAATAATTTTTTTTTGCGATGTTTCTGACCTTTGAATGCTAAATCATACTTTCCGATTCGGATAGCACATATGCCGTTAGGTGGATACCTTCTTCAGCTAAATTTGTAGTCTTAGGGCAGCACCCTAGAGGCACCGGCTTATTTCAAGTTTATGAACTTGATGAACAAGAATTAGTATTAGTTGAAGAGGTAAATCACCTTTGTTGCTATTAACAGGTTTAAAAATGTTTTTGCTATTATCAATTCTTATACTTTAGAATGAAAATAGCGTGAAACCGGAGGCGCACTAAAATGTGGAACTTTTGGTGCATCAAGCCTAAATTCGCGTCATTTGGCGACTGGAGACTTTGATGGACGTCTTGCTCTGTGGTAATTAATTATCAAGAAAACTAAGTTCTAGTTCTTTATTTATATTCGTTTAAATTCGTCATTATTTTTTTTTTTTAGGGATCTTGAACATACTGAGGCGCCAGTTTTTTCTATCAAAGCTCATTCAAGTATTATTAACGATATCGCCGGATGTGGTGGATCGATTACATCTTCACATGGTCCACCAGAATTAGCAACTGCAAGCAGAGACGGTAAGTTATAAATTAGATGAAATTTTCTTATTCTTAAAAGCAATTGACACGTATAAATTTGGATCAGTTTAGGAACTGTCAAAATATGGGATATCAGACAAAAGAATCAACCTGTTGTTAAAATTGGTTCGGCCGAAAAAGCAGGTGATGCCTGGTGTGTCGCTTTTGGTACGTGCATTTTATGATTATTATGATTTTTTTTTTTTTTTATATTGAACACGTGTAAAAAATAAAGCCAACTTGATATCTTGATATAAATTCCTGTAGGAAACGCGTGGAACAATGAAGAACGAGTAGTGGCAATTGGTTATGACAATGGTGAAGTAAAATTATTTGATTTAAAGACAATGTCGATACTATCGGAATTAACAATTTCATCTGGGGTATGATTTTCCGAATTCCCCTAAAAAAGATTATTTTTTTTTTCTAATTGTTAATAAATACATTTGACTTATTTATAATAGGCCTCTTCTTTGGAGTTTGATCACCAATATACAAAACTTAATAGGTTAGCTATTGGCTCTCTTAAAAATATACACATTTTTGAAACCATCGATCAGAATAATCCGAAACCATTAAGCATCGGAGAACAGGCGAGCAATGAATTTTTTATAATTTTTCTTTAAAATAAAAAAAAAAAATTAACTTTTCGGGTTATCATATAGGAAGATGCAACTATTTGGTGTATACGTCATGTTCCCCAAGCGTTAGATTGTTTTATGACTTCTACTGGTTCTGGGGCAATCAATCTGTATCAGATAAAAAACAAAACGTTGAAATTGATGGCTAGCGCAACCGTGACGGGGCAACCTGTGGCGTCTATTGACTGGCATATAAATAAATCTGGATTATTGGTTTTTACGTCATTTGATGGGACGGTTGGTGTGAACATAGTTACTAATATTTGAGAGTAAGTTTTAATAAGGGCGTATTTATATTTTTAGATTTCTAATTTTAATTTCATGGATCATTAAAATAAATATTATTTTTTTTTTCAGTATTTAAAAATTCGCATGTAAGTTTTTTTAAGGTTTTTGTCTTGACTGAATCTTTCGTTGAAAATTTGATTAAAAATAAACTACATATGATTTCGCACCAAAAAAAGTTATTCGTTAAATATTTTACCTGTCATACTAATTTTATTATTTTGATAATCATATTGTAATACAAACTTCTTATTTTTTTTTTCCCTAAATACAAGCTAAATATTATCTAAAGGCTTAGATTTAAATGTTATAGCTTGCGAAAATCTTTTGCCCTCATTTGATCAAAATGATCGTGCCATTTTCGGAAACATTATTTATAAATACCGATGATCTTAATTTAAAATCCCGAACAATAATAAAAGATCAATTCACAATTCTAGATAAAGAAAATATAAAAATGTATGGGTTCGGTTTTTTGTGATCACATAATGTCATTTGTCTATTTATAGTTATTATTACATCCGACAGAATGACTACTTCAATAATAAATTTCCATGTTGGAATATTCTCCCGTGTACTTCGCCCCTCAACAAGTTTTTAATCAAAATTCTCCTTACCGATTTTGTCTTCTTAAATTGGTATATTTATTTTATTTTATAGATGATATTTATGATATTAATTAAGACTAGTTTTGATTTTATTTTTATTTCATTTCATTTTTTTTTATAAAAAAAACTTTTCTTTTTTCCTCGTGGATCATGCACAACAGACAAATAGTACAATTTCAATATTATGTTTGGCCAACATAAAATTCGTGAAACATCTAATATCCCGTTATCGAGTAAAAAAAAAAATTTTTTTCCCTCAAAATCTCTGACCTGTTTCGTCTTATCTTTTATTTAAAAATAAAATTAATTAAAAAGGTATTTATTAACAAGGAAGGAATCAAAAGGATTATTTCACCTTTTCTTACTCACTCACTTTCATTTAGTTCTTCATCATCAGAGAAATTAATTAATTAATTTATTTATTTATAAAAAAAAAAAAAAGGAAATAAGGAGGACAAATCATAACTCTTGGGTAGATTAATACCCTTTTTAACCATCACACTTTAATGTATGTATGAGACATTATTTTTTGATTTTTTTAGGTTGTGTAATTTAAAATCAAATCATCTACATAATAATAAATAGCTTTTTCGAATTGAATTTAAAGAAAATATTTAGCCGCAAGGGAAATTATAACATATACTATAAATAACTATTATTTATATCGCATCAAAAAACTGTTGTTGAACCTAATCCTTAATTGCTCAATAAATATATTTCTGCTTGAATACATTACCCATTATACACAAATTTTTCAAGTAACACTTTAATCGCATATTTTTGTTACTTTAATCATCCTTCCTCAAACCTATCCTCCCCTTACTCCTTCTTCCCTTCTTCCTTTACAAACACGTTGAAGGTTTAATATTATTTAAGGGAAAGAGAGAGGATTTTTTTTTTTTCATTTTCATTTTCATTATTATTATTTAAAAAATAATTTTTTTTAAAAAAAAAAAAAAAAAAACAAAAAAAGTAAGAAAAAAAAAATATATATATATTATATAAGTTAAATTTTTTGATACCCAATCATAATGGGTAAAAAAAAGAATGCTTCCTCAGCGGAGGATAAAGCGGACCTTTCAACAATACAAAATATATCTCTCGAGTCAATAACGTCAACGATTCGCGAACGTTATCAAAATGATAATATTTATACACGTATAAACCACTCCGTACTAGTAGCGGTGAACCCTTATAAAATTCTTCCTATATTTAATGATACAACTATTCAACAATATGTCGCGGACTATAAAGATACCTCGGGTCAAAGAGCCACATTACCTCCACATGCCTTTCAACTTGCCTCGCAAGCTTATTTACACATGAGACGAACTGGACAAGATCAGTCCATCATCTTAAGGTAAGTTTTTTCACTCGAAATTCAAAAAAAAAAAAAAAATTTGATGATATTCTCTCGTTCAAAGAAAATGGTGGTATTAATCCTATCCTTTTTATCTTGTAAATATTAAATCAATAGTGGGGAATCGGGCAGTGGAAAATCAGAAACTCGAAAACTTTTGGTTAAACAATTAGCCGCTTTAAGTTCGCATCAAAAAAAAGATTCCAGAATCCAAAATAAAGTTCCTCACTCGGAATTTATTCTAGAATCATTTGGAAACGTCAAAACAAATATTAATAATAATGCTTCTCGTTTCGGTAAATATACCGAACTTCAATTTAACGAACGTGGTAGATTAATTGGCGCTAAAACACTTGATTACCTCTTGGAAAAAAATCGAGTCGTCAAAGTTTTTCAAAATGAACGAAATTTTCACGTATTTTATTATTTAATCGCTGGGGCTTCACAGGATGAGAAAACACATCTTCATCTTACCGATGCTTCACAATATCGTTATCTTAATGTTCCGAAAGGGACCAGAGGTCCTAATGCCGATGATATGAACAATTTTAATGAATTAAAACAAGCTTTGAAATCTCTAGGATTTCATAAAAAACACGTAGCTCAAATGTTTCAACTTTTAGCTGCTATTTTACATTTAGGTAATATACAATTCGCTCAAGATCCAAATAACAAACAAAAAGAAGCAGCTTTTGTAAAGAATCAGGAGGTTTTAAATTTAGTTGCGGACTTTTTAGGAGTAGATCCTCAGGCTCTTGAGAATGTACTTACTTATAAAACTAAACTAATCAAAAAAGAAATGTGTACAATATTCTTGGACGCGGATTCTGCTTCTGTTCAACGAGATGATTTGGTGAAGGCACTTTATTCTTTATTATTTAGTTGGATTGTAGAATATATTAACACGAAACTATGTCAAGAAGATTTTGCCAGCTTTATCGGTATTGTCGACCTTATTGGATTTCAAAATTTAACAGAAAATTCTCTTGATCAATTTTGTGTAAATTTTGCCAATGAAAAAATTCATAATTTCGTTCTAAAACAAATTTTTGAATCACGTCATGATGAATATACCGAGGAAGGAATTAATGTTCCTGATATACCCTTCTTCGACAATTCGGCATGCCTTCAAATGATTTCTCATCCGTCATCAGGATTAATCGCAATAATGGATGACCATGCCAATAAATCTTCTCGTAAAACTGATAATAGCATGCTCGACGCTTTCAGTAAAAAATATTCAGAACATAATTCCTTTAAATCCGCTGGTAAAAGTTTGAACGCTCTTCCCACTTTTGGTATTCAACATTTCGCCGGTCAAGTTACTTATAATGCCACGGGATTCCTTGAAAAGAATACGGATAATCTCAATGCCGATTTTGTCTCATTATTCCGTGGTAGTACCGGAGCAAATTCCCCTTACAATAGTTTCATCGTTGGTTTATTCACTGACAAGGCCGTTTCCACAGAATCCCATCCTCGAAATGATAATACTATTGTCTCGGCCCAACAATCTGCCAAGCCTATGCGTTCTCCATCAATGCGCCGTAAGAAAAGTCAACTCGGTTCTGAAGAATTAACTTCAAAACCAAAGGTCTCTTGTGTCGCGACTCAAATTTCATCAGCTTTAAGTGAATTGTGTGATACACTTGAAGACACAATTCCCTGGCATGTTTTCTGTATTCGCCCAAATGATTCACTACTTCCTAATCAATATGATTCAAGAACTGTACAATCTCAAGTAAAATCATTTGGATTACCGGAAATTGCAAAGAAATTACAAATCGATTATACCATTGGATTCACTCACCAGGAATTTTTAGAAAGATATGCACCTATTCTGGATTCAATGGGACTTGATCAGTCGAGAGATCCTAAAGCAAAATGTGAAGCTTCTTGTACCATATTTGGTTGGACAAGTTCTTATATGGCTGTTGGACAAAATAAGGTTTGTTGATTTTTTAAATCCAAGACATCAAGAAGATTCTAAATATAATAGTTGGTGTATTGACTAAATCCTAATGAATTCTAATAGGCATACTTGAGTGAAACCGCATGGCGTAACTTGGAAGACAATCTTCGTAATATGGACGGCGAAGAAAAACGCAAAAAGAAAGATAAGAAAGCAACCGCAAGTACAGCCCATGGCGATGATAATTTAACTCCAACTTCATATCCTCGCCTTTCTCCGCCAAAAGCATTGGATCAAAGGTCCTTTGATGACACTCGCTCAAACTTTTCTGAAGACGACTTTTATCAGGATGAATCAGTAAGTCAATATGATGATAATGGTTCTTCATATGGCTCAGAAGTGTATGCACCATCACACAACATGTTTAAAGAATTGGAAGCAAAGAAAGCGTTAAATGAAGGGGGTGAGACGGTAGAAGAAGAAGTTGAAGAGCCTCGTAAAACTACTGCTGCTCGTAAGAAATGGGTATTCCTCACTTGGTTCCTTACCTGGTGGGTTCCTCCTTGTTTCTTGAGATGGTGCGGTCGTATGAAAAGAAAAGACATTCAAATGGCATGGCGTGAGAAAGTCGCACTTTGCATCCTTATTGCTTTGATTTCAGCTTTGATCATTTTTGTTCTCGCTTTCTTGGGTAAATTGATTTGTCCGAAAGTTAACATTTTCACTGGTCAAGAACTTAGTTCTCATACGTTTAAAGAGGAGCCTGACAATACTTTAGTCTCAATTCGTGGTGAAGTTTATCTCTTGAGCACATTTGCTCCTCGCCATTTCCCACCATTGGTTGATACGGACGCAATTTTGGCATACGGTGGAAATGATGTATCACAATTATTCCCTGTTCAAGTTAGCGCTCTTTGTAGCGGAATTGACGGATTTGTCGATCCTGCTGTTACATTTGACTTTACCGGCAATAACACCAAAGACGACAATGCTAAATATCACGATTTCCGTTATTCTTCTTCTTCCAACGGATTTCGACCAGATTGGTACTATTCAGAAATTTTAATGAAATTGAGATCGATCTACCTTGTTGGTCAAGTAGGTATACCGGCACATATGGTCAAAGAAATGGCAATTAGAGAACAAGATAGGAGACAAATTGCTATTCTTAATGATAATATATACGATATAACACCTTACGTACTTGGTGGTCGTCAAGCGTTGGGTCCAGGTGGAACACCCGTCGAAGGCGTTGATACGAATTTCCTGGTTCCTGAAATTGTTGACCTTTTCAAAAGTTTTAATGGTTTGGATATCACAAAGATGTATAATAGTTTACTCATGGATCCTGAAGTTAGAAATCGTCAAGAAGTTTGTTTGAGAAACTTATTTTATGTCGGAAAAGTAGATCATCGTAATTCTCCACAATGTTTATTTGCAAACTATATTTTACTCGCATTTTCAGTTGTATTGGTTGCTGTCATTTTCTTCAAATTTTTAGCAGCATTGCAATTGGGTTCAAGGAGAGAACCAGAAGAACATGATAAGTTTGTTATTTGTCAAGTTCCCTGTTATACTGAAAGTGATGAATCTATGCGTAAAACTTTGGATTCCTTGGCCGTATTAAGATATGACGACAAACGCAAGCTTCTATTTATTGTTTGTGATGGAATGATTGTCGGTAGTGGTAATGACAGACCAACGCCTCGAATCGTCTTGGATATTTTGGGAGTTGATCCAAATATTGATCCTGAACCTCTCAGTTTTCTGTCTCTTGGAGATGGTGCTAAACAGCATAATATGGGCAAAGTATATTCTGGATTATACGAATGTAATGGACATGTTGTTCCTTATTTAGTAGTAGTAAAAGTTGGCAAACCAAGCGAAAGATCTCGACCTGGTAATCGCGGTAAACGTGATTCTCAGATGATTCTTATGAGATTCTTGAATAAGGTCCACTTCAACTCTGAAATGACTCCATTAGAATTGGAAATGTACCATCAAATCAAAAATGTTATTGGGGTAAATCCAAGTTTCTACGAATATGTTCTTATGGTGGACGCCGATACAGAGGTTATGCCCGATTCTTTGAATCGTCTCGTTTCCGCTTTTATGCATGATACCAAAGTTATGGGACTTTGTGGTGAAACAACTCTTGCTAACGAAAAAGACTCTTGGGTTACCATGATTCAAGTATACGAATATTATATTTCACATCATCTTGCAAAAGCTTTTGAATCACTGTTCGGTAGCGTTACTTGTTTGCCCGGATGTTTTTGTATGTATAGAGTTCGTACACCGGATTCCCATAAACCTTTATTAGTCAGCAACCAACTCATTGAAGATTACTCTGAAAATTTGGTCGATACTCTTCACAAGAAGAATTTACTTCACCTTGGTGAAGATCGTTATTTAACAACTTTGATGATGAAACATTTTCCCAATTATAAGATGACATTTGTTCCAGATGCACAATGTAAAACTTATGCTCCTGATCAATGGTCTGTGCTCATTTCACAACGTCGTCGATGGATCAATTCTACTGTGCACAATCTTATGGAATTAGTTTTCTTACCTCAACTTTGCGGTTTCTGCTGTTTCTCTATGCGTTTTGTGGTCATGATTGATTTGTTCGCTACCCTTATTATGCCCGCAACTGTTGCATATCTTGGATATTTGATTTATATCATTGTAAGAGATCCGACTACGGTTCCAGTTATGTCTTTATTGTTGTTGGCCGCTGTATATGGTCTTCAAGCCTTTATATTTATTCTTCGTCGTAAATGGGAACATGTTGGTTGGATGATTGTTTATATACTTGCCATGCCCGTTTTCTCCTTTTACTTGCCTATTTATGCATTCTGGCATTTTGATGACTTCTCATGGGGTAATACACGTTTGGTTATAGGTGAAAAGGGTAAAAAGGCGTTGGTACCAGACGAAGGTAAATTTGATCCAAAGAGCATACCTAAGAAGAAATGGTCAGATTACGAACAAGAACTATGGGAAGTTGGTACACAAGGATCGCAAGAATCCGCACATTCGAGAGCTTCGGATCGTTCACATCGAAGTAGTAGATCTGCTAAAAAAGCTGGATCCGCTGCTGGGTCCGTTGCCGGTGATTATTACGATGAACGTGGTAGAAGAGGTCGCTCTCGATCACCTGCACCTCCGTTTGCCAGTAATGATCCAAGAATGTCTCGTAATTATTCTACTGAAATGAGTCAAAGAGGATCCGTGTATGGTATCGGGCGTGGTGTTGAATATGATGTTTATGGAGCTGTTACAACACTTGGGTCGAGGCCTGTTAGTATGGTAGAAGGTGGACAAGGTTCCGACTTTCCCTCAGATGAAGAAATTCTTCAAGAAATTCGAAATATATTATCAACAGCTAACCTAATGTCAATTACAAAGAAGCAAGTTCGTGATGACTTATCTCAATACTTTGGCATGGATATGAGTTTAAAGAAGGAGTATATTAACAACTGTATAGAATTGATTCTTCAAGGAAAACTTTAATAATTGGAAGGGAATATATTATATTTATTTTATCAAAAATCCTAATATTATTTAGAATGTATTTTTTTTTCCTCAACTAAACTTAATGAATTTACAAAGTAATCATTTATTATCTTATTTTGCAATTTGTCATCCCCACAAAAAAAAAAAAAAACTTTGAAAATAATTATTTACTCTATTTCCGCTGGTCGATTTTAATGAAGACATTTGTATTCAATTAATCTGTAGTTTTTTGTAGAAAAGATGTATTTGGTAACATTAAAACAGTTTATGAATGTTTATTGGACAAGATTATAATTTTTTTTGTATTTTATTTTTTTCATTAATTTTTTGATGTTTAATTTTCTAGTAGAGAATTTTTTTTTTTTTTTTTTATGATTTTTTATTCATTTCACGGGATTGTTAACTTCATATATATATGTTTTAATAGAATTTCTTTCTCTGTTGAAAATTAATAAAAATTATTAAAATGATTTTTGATCATTTATTGATCATATTAATATTTATAAATAATCGTTTGTTAAACCATTTCAATATCTTTTTAGGATATTTCTCCTCATAATAAACTAATCTAATTCTAATCTATGATATATATGAATAGATAACAAAACAAATATAGTATGAATAAATAGTATGGTTTTTTTTCATAAATATATAGTATTAAAAATCATACAAATATGAACTTATTTTTATATAAATATAATACAAATTCCTGAATAGCAACGACACCAGCTAACTTTATAGATCAGAATAAGATTTGCAGGATTCTTTTGTTTAATAGATTCTAATTTACATTCTTAAGTCCAGTAATAGCACCATGATCGGATTCGGGAGCAAAATCTCATAATAGCACCATAACTACCACCTGTTTTTGGTTTCTTTATCATAAATTGTATATAAAAGTCACATCTCCCCATAATTTTGAAAATCACCAAATTTTGACCCTATATAAACTTATCAAAACTTGTATTGATAACGATCGCGGATCGTCTGATTACGGCTGGCTTTCTGCGGCCACAATATTTTTTTATAATTTTTCGAAATTATTTCTTTAAAATTTTTTAAATTTGTTTTGCCAAAGGGGGAGGTGACAAATTTTTTTTTTAAAAAAATATATTTTTAATTTTAAAATTGATATAAAACATTATAATTAAATGTTATCTAAGATTTACTTTTAATTATTTTAAATTTTACATATAAAAATGAAATCATATTAAAATTTTTATTGTTAATTTAATCTTCAAATAATTTTTTATATAGATAATAAATAATTTTGAATTTGAATTTTTAATTGATTTTTTTTTTAAAGATATTATTAGTGACAATTAGCATTTTTTAGTTCTTAAAATATTTAATAAAATAAAAAAATAGCTAAAATGTGATATAATATAATTTGGTAATCTTACATTATATTTATATCTTATTATATTTATAATTATTATAATAACCATAAATTCCAGTTGAAATATATATAAAAAAATAAAAATAAAAATGTTGAGAAGACTTTTTTTGCTTAATAAATTTTGTGCTTTTAGCCATTAATCATTTCTTGCTTCTTATTGTTTTCCTTTGCATTTTTTATCTATTCATCATATCTAATTATTTCCCTTCTTCTTCTTTCTCATCTTCATCATCAACAAATTTTCTAATCCTCTTAATTAATTTTTATTATAATTCTAATACTTATTATATTTAGCAAAACAAATTTAATTATTATTTTTTTTTTAGTATACTATATAAATTTTTGTATCTAACTTTTATTATATGACTTTTTAAAATTTTTGGATCTCTCTATCTTTTTGTTTGAAATTGCAATTTATTCAGAATTTAAAAGATGATAAAAATAATGAAATAATAAATAATTTGATTTAAGTGAATTTCTATATTAAAATACTGTTTTTTTAAAAAATTATACAATTTGCATTTGTGATAAACTAATATTATAATATTTATAATTTTATTAAGAATCATATTTATTATATAGTTTTTCATTAATAATAATTTGAAATTTTTCAATGAATTTGATTTAAAAATATATATAAATAAATCATCATAAATGAAACAGTCAAAGCTTTATTTATTATTAAGTAAAATTTTAAAAAAAAAATTTGATTGGCAAATTAAAATAAATACAGAAACAAAAATTAAAACGAAAAATTTTTTACTTTTCAAAGCACAATTTCAACTATTTAAATCTATTATTGTATTAAGACTTTTCAAATAAATAAATAAAATCATAATTTATATTATTAAACTCATTAAAATTTCTTATTATATAATATTATATTTAATTTATAAACTGGATTTTTAAAATTAATTTCAATTTCAAATATATATATTATTTTTTATTTTTTTTTATTATAAAAAAAAATTTAATAGAAAATTTTATTATAGGATTTTATTAAACTATATTAATAATTTCTCAATATCTTAAAGCAGCTCTTTTTATTAAATTTAATATTTTACAATCTCTATATATTAAAATATTTTAATAAATATAAAAAGAAAAAATAAAGTTTATCATATTAAAATATATCTAATGATAAATTTTTTAATTTTTTAACATTAATAATTAACAATATATAGAATTATGTTAAAAATTGAGTTACAAACATAATAAATTATATGATTTATAATATGCTTTTAATAGCAAACCTTCTATATCAATTTTTTAATTTTTTTAATTTTTATTATCTAAAAAAATAAAATTTTGGTTATTGGATTTATCTCATTAAAAGTTATTATTTTTATATTTCTAAGATTAATAAATAACAAGATGTAAGAATTTAAAATTTTAATATTAATTTATTATATATTATCTTTAAAAAATCACTAGTTAATTACATTTTTTTTTTTTTTGATTTTTATTTAGAAAATATAAAATTTATTATTATAGTATTAATTTTTTAAAATAATTAATCATGAATGTAATTATTAAATAAAATTGCAGGCAAATTTGCCTGCAATACCATTGAAGGGATAATCACCAGATATCATTTGTGAATTTTCATCAATTTGCTTGTCACATAATGCCTTAGTGAAAGCAAGCATACTCAGAAGCGCAGTACCTATTGGATTTTTTACAAGTACTGCACTCTGGTCGTTCCTTATCACATTTAACCTTGCGATATTTGCAGACATCACAAGTCGATATCAGTTTCACTTCTTTCATCCACTTCGTTATTGTAACTTAGTGGAATGAAATTCCCTAATCATAAGCATATGATTTAATTATAAAGTATTAATTTTTTAATAAAAATTATTAAAAATATTTAAAATAATTAATCATGAATGTAATTATTAAATAAAATTGCAGGCAAATTTGCCTGCAATACCATTGAAGGGATAATCACCAGATATCATTTGTGAATTTTCATCAATTTGCTTGTCACATAATGCCTTAGTGAAAGCAAGCATACTCAGAAGCGCAGTACCTATTGGATTTTTTACAAGTACTGCACTCTGGTCGTTCCTTATCACATTTAACCTTGCGACATTTGCAGACATCACAGGTCGATATCAATTTCACTTCTTTCATCCATTTCGTTATTGTTACTTGGTGGAATGAAATTCGGTGGCGGTTAGAATGATTCAAATATTGGAGTAAAGGGTTGACCCGGAATGTCCAATTTTATAATACGTCCAAGCTACGGGTTGTTTGACTTGGAATGAAAGAAACGTCTGGTGCTCGAATTGTTCTCGCTCCTCCAACGTTGAAGTCACTCCCTAATCACAAGCATATGATTTAATTATAAATAACTTTTATGTCTTAAAAGGTCAATATGATAAGTATTATTTATTGGTCACTATAACTAACCTTCGAACAAAGTCTCCTCATTTGGATAAGTCGAATTCTTTCTGCTTCCGGAATGAGTGGATTACTTTAGCGTCAAAACTATATACCGCATTATAAATAAAAGTTAATTAAACATTATATAATAAATTTGAAGGTTATATAATTTCTCGTGTAGTATTGGATACCGCTTCACTAAGTCGCAATGTAAGTCGAAACATATGATTAAATATCTTTGAGAACTCAAACTCAACTTAGCAACTTAAGCAATTTATCACGGGACTACAACAAAATTTCTTAGACTCGAATATAGAGTGACCTTGCTATGAACCCGAAACAAACGAAACAGAGCAAAACATAACAGACAGAGTATAAAAATGCAAACCTCAAATTGCTTTCAACAACGTGATGTCAACGGATTTACTATATATAAGGACTACGAGATAGCTGTTCCAAGCAAAGTTTGATTTTTCCGAAATCTTTTACAAAAACGATACTTCGCTATAAGAAGTTGTTTAAAAATAGTTATCGCAAATCACTCACTGTCACAATATTTGAAACGGAAAAATGATCGTCATTTATTACGATCGTCATTTAGATTATCCATTAATTTTTTTTTTTTTTTTTTTTTAATTGACAATGGCTAATGTACTTGAAAAAATTGCCAAACTCGCCCTCCCACTTGGGGCGGCAGCTAGTTTATTCCAATATAGTATTTATGATGGTAGGTTTTTTTTCAAAATTTTGTTACAATTTATTTATTTTAAAAATATAATATAACTATATCAGTATATGAAAATGAATTAAATCAAATATATATATTTTTTTATTTTGTTGGATAGTTCAAGGAGGACATCGTGCTGTGATATTTGATCGTATTAAGGGAGTTAAGGAAAGGCCAGTCGGTGAAGGTACACACTTCCTCGTTCCTTGGTTACAACGCGCTGTTCTATATGATGTTCGTACAAAACCTCGCAATATATCTACAACAACTGGGTCAAAGGATATGCAGACTGTCAGTTTGACTTTACGCGTTTTACATAGACCTGATCTTGACAAATTATCTGAAATTTATCAATCTTTGGGTATGGATTATGATGAAAGAGTATTGCCTTCTATTGGCAATGAAGTATTAAAAGCTGTTGTTGCTCAATTTGATGCAAGTGAATTGATTACACAGCGTGAAGTGGTAAATGAAAAATTAAATAAATAAATATATATATATTATTTTTGCATTTGATTTTACGCGACTTTTAAACGTCGAGTCATTTTTTATTTTTATTGTTTCCATTTAGGTTTCTTCAAAAATACGTGAAGACCTTGTAAAAAGATCTAAAGAATTTAACATTGAACTGGAAGATGTTTCTATTGTATAGTATCTTATTTTTGCAATTTAATAATTTGCTTTAATTAGATTCTTGACCTATCTCTTGATATTACCAAATATATATGATTGTATATATATATTATTTAGACACACATGACTTTCGGTAAAGAATTTACAAATGCCGTTGAACAAAAACAGATTGCTCAACAGGAAGCCGAAAGAGCAAAATTCATCGTCGAAAAGGTAATCATTTGTTTTATATTATTAATGCATTCGCAATTCAATAATTTATTAACTTTTATTTAGGCTGAACAAGAAAAACAAGCTTCAATTATTCGTGCAGAAGGTGAAGCTGAAGCTGCAGAAAGAATTTCCAAAGCTCTTGATAAAGCTGGTGAAGGTTTGGTATTATTGCGTCGTATTGAAGCTTCTAAAGAAATTGCAGCAACATTATCTGCTTCACGAAATATAACATATTTACCTGGTAGCCAAGCTGGAGGATCCAATTTATTATTGAATTTGGGTGTATAAAAATTGAAGGGAAAATTTATTTAATGAACTATCCGTTTTAGTTAATGATATTTCATTTTATTAAACTAATTGAAGTTTCGAGTTTATGGCATGAACGACATTTATTATTAAAACTTTGCTTCCCCGCGGTAAACCACTTCCAATTGTACTCTATATAAGGCATGATCTTCAATTTATATAAAAATTTCTTCGTGAATTGCTATACCTAACTCGTTCCATATATAGTAATAAAAAAAAAGATGGAAGGTTTGATAATAATATTATTAAATGAACAATGTATTCTATCTTTATTAAATTATATAAGTTCTTTTCGATGTTCGACATACCAAATATTTTTCTATATATAGCAACACCCTTATCATTTTTTTGAAGAAATAAAAGAGAACGATTAATTCAAAATGTTGTTAGTTGATATAATGAATTATAAGCAGATAAATATGATTAGGAAAGAGTTAATGGAAACGAAAGGAAAGATTCAAGGTCAGACAATTTTTTTTTTTTATATTAAATAATTATAAAAAAAGACCCATCAAGAGAAACTTCTTTATGTGTTTAAAAATGAAGTAATATACCTGGAAATATTTTAGTTGAGGCAAAATTACGTAAAGGGGCGCAATAATTGAATATGTATGTATACTAACTGTAATATAAAAGATAGGAGAGAATGCAGATTTTAATGGTTAAATTACATGTCACAAAACTAATAAATCTAATATTAGTAGTAGTAAAATTTGCAATTGACCTAAATTAATGAGAATTCATACAAATTAAAAATAGAAAATAAACAGGAAAATTTGATATACATATACTTGACAAATTAATGATATTTAATTCGGGAACACAAAAGCTGGTTAATTCATTGTTGTTCTACCTTACCCGTTACCTTTCATTTGTTTGAAAAAAAAAATGAATCTAATATTTATTTTGATTTATGTTGTCACTTGTTAGCTGAAAAGGAAATTTTCACGAATTACGGTCAAGGTTATTCTGTTTTTGATATTAATGACTAAATTATTTACGAAATGATTGTTTGATTGGTTTTTATTTTTTTTTTTTTAAAAAAAAAAATAATCTCTGTGAATGATACAGATGTGCATGATCTCGAAATTACTAAATTATGATTTAAATTTCAATTTATTGGAAAAAAAAAAAAATTTAACAAAAATTCGTCCAAGTGATTTATGAAAGGGTTCAACTCGTTTCCCTTTTTAAAATGTTTGCTTATAATTTTACATGTCATGTTCGAAAAATGGTAAAAAAAAAAAAATTAAGTTTCTATAAAATGAAATTAATTAAATCGTTCGAAACTTCAAATGTACGGTCTGCAGAAGAAAATCTTTTCAGGTTTTATTATAAAACAAACGAAATTTGTTAAACCACTTACCAAATCAAGGTTGAAGTAACTTCTGTACAATAATAAAGTGCATCAAATAAAAATATCATCATAGACCGTTTTCTTTGGAGAAGATTTTCTTAATTCTTTTTTTCCTTTTTTTTTTTTATCTTTTTGAAATATTATACTGGTATATATATATTTCAAACAACCCATTACTTTCTTTAATAGAATACTCATTCAATTATCTGAACAATTTTTCAAAAAAAAAAATAAATAAATAAAAGCTCTTATAGACACTTGTTTCTATTATTTATTATAAATATTTTTTAATTTTTAATTTTATTTTTTGATTTTAATTTTTTTGGGGGGGTTAATTGACAAGATAGATTTCTGTTTGTATATAAAACCTATATTTTTTTTATTTATTTTACTTTTAAGTCATTAATTTCAATTTCAATAAATGAAGAAGGCAAAACTCAACATTCTGTTCGGTAAAAAGAAAATTGGCGATAAAGAAAATGTTGTTTCAACCATAACTGAATCTGCACCCCCAAAAATAACGTTAGATACTTTAACTTTAAATTCAAGTCTTGACATTCTACCTACCTCTTCAACTTCTGATACTCCTGAAAGAGCTCAAGAATTAAAACCATCCGCAACGTCCAATCAAGAAAACTCGACGGGTTTGTTTGACGAAATTTTAAGTGAATTGAATACGGGTATGTTTTTGAACTTATCCCCTTTTTTTTATGATCATCAAAATTACTAATACCATTAAATTATTTTATAGGAAAATCTTCGGCTTTTGATGATGAATTATCTTTAAATTTGGAATTATCAAAATTATTAGAAACTTCTTCGACAGTAAAAGTACAACCTACTTCAACATTTTCCAATTCATCCCTATCGAATCAAAGTACTAATAAATCCGTATTTCTAAATAATAATGATGAAGCCAATAACTCATACAACCGATTTAATTTACCATCAAAAGACAATTTATCAAACAATTTGATTAAAAAGAATGAACCCTTACAACCTAGCAATAATTTAGCAACTCATAAACCATTAGATAGTGAAACTGAAACCGAAAGTGATGATGAATCAAGTGATAATAGTAGCGACAATAAGAAAGGAACAAAAAAGAACGAGATAAATAAAAAAATTTCAAAAAAATCGAAAAAGAAAAAAATTGAATCATCATCATCTAGCGAATCTGAAGATAGTTTTATAAGGATAGAACAATCGGCTCCTAATCCTAATGGTATGAATGGAAAGAAACCTATAAATCCCGTTCAACGTCGAAAAGATATTGGCCAAAAAACTAATCAGGTTGAAAATTGGGCGCAAGATGTGAATCCGAAGGATGGTGATAATAATATTTTGGATCGTATGAAAGACAGGCATCGTGCGGAAGCGAGGGCAGCACCTTCTTTACATCCTCCACCCCCTTCTACCTCTTATCCGGATGATGATAGATATTATGATTATGATCGTCATGACAGATATGAAAGAAATGATAGATATGATCCCCCATACTCACGAGACCCGAGAGATCGAGATGATCATTATGATCGTGATTATAGGGAAACACGGGACCCTCGAAATCCTAGGTCGGACACTTATTCTGAAGATTCTCGTGATATGAGGGAAGATTATAGGTATGGTTCAAGGGATCGGGATGATTATCGTCGAGATCCTCGTCCGAGAAATAATGATGATAGACCTATTTATGATGATCGGTTAAGAAATAATACGAGATATCCTCGTGAAAGGAACAACGATTATGAAAAGGGTATATCTTCAAACGGCGATCATTTGGGATATCGTCAGAATAACGGGACCAGAATTATTCGACGATCTCCAAGCTCATCTGCTTCGTCACATACGAGTGAATCATCAATAGACCCTAGGCTTCGAAGCGAGCGTTCCGTCATTAAAGTTTCTAAAAGTAGATCTTTTGAAAAAGAAAAAATTAAAGAATCTCATGAACCAAAAGATGGTTCTCTTTCCCGTCAATCATCAATAGCTTCAAGAAAGAATACTTCACCTGGAGAATTTCATCAAAGTTCAACCCGCAATTTGCATGACCGAGTCGTTCATAAAGGCTCACATAAAGATTTAAAACAATCACGTTCTTCAACTTCCTCAGGAGGAAGTTCAAATCATGAAGAAAGGATCGTAGAAGAATCAAATTACATAAAATCAATTTCCAGGAAGAATTTAAGAGTTCCTTTTGACGAAACAGCTCGTGATTCTATCCTTTCAGTTGATAGTGATATTGTTCCATTAGGTACAAAGTATGGAATAACCGCAATGAATGCACACGATGAAGGATTATCACATGATTCACTTGATAAAAGTTCTGACGACGAACCTCTTGATACCATGATTACAGTAAAAAGAACAATTTCAAGAAAAAAGAGTATGCCAGCATCCTTTAAACCATCATCCTCCGATTTTTCTTCTGATGATGATGATGAAACTTATAAAGGATCCTTCAGTGATAATGAGCCGCCAATACCACCGAGGGGTAAAACATTTCCACCCAAACAAACACGTTCCTTACCATCGCATATCCGCAAAGATCGACTTCAAAATGGGCATTCACGTTCTGATAGTTATGATTCCAACTCTGCTTTAAATGGATATCGCGACCGAGATGAATTCGGATATCATCCTTCCCCACCTCCACCACACGTATTACGTGAAAAACCTGCAAATAGATATCCCGTACCACCTCATCAATATCGTGATGAACCTCCATATCCGTATCGTGAAGAAGTTCCATATGATGGATCTCGTTATAGGTATGCGAATTATCCATTACCACCAGAACCATTCCCGCTTGATCATACGCCAGAAAATAGCAAGAAGGTGCCATTAATTGAAATGGCAGGATATCGTTATGATCAAAATAAACGTAATCAAACGATTCAGCCGTTCATTGCAAGTTTGGATAAGCGCATTCGATCTCCATCACCACCAAATAGGTATCCAAATCGTGGTTATCCTCGTGAACGAGAACGATATCCTCAAGAACGGGGTGAATATCCACCGCAACCACGTCAATATAATCCACCTCCACCAAGAAGTATCAAGAATGGTTATGATGATAGAGGCGAACGTCGCGAAAGAGGGCACGATGTTGATAGATATGATCGGTATAATGATCGGTATGGTAATGATAGATATAAAGATAGATTCAATGATAGGCACGATGATAAATACAGCGACAGACTTGATGATAGATACGACGATAGGTATAATAATGACAGATATGATGATAGGTATAGTGACAGATACGATGATAGGTATAGTGACAGATATAATGATAGGTATGATAGATACGATGATTGAATAGATTAATTAGATGATTTTGATGGGTTCATTATTGTACATATTTGATCTTTATATTATTCTTTACCCAATATCTTTAAAATTATTTATTATTTAGTATTCTGTATTTTATTTCATTAATTTCATTACTATTATCAATCTATACTTCCTTTTTTATTAACATTTCCTTAATATTATTAAAGAATAAATCAACTTTACCTAATGAGAGGTAAAATTATTGAATAATATCATCTCTATTACGTAAAAAAAAGGTACAAATTATATGTATACGTCACGTATTTTAAGGTTATCTGGATTTATCTGCACTGATATACAAAACTAATAAAAATATTTAAAATAAAATTTAAATAAAATAATAATAGCTGGAAATTCTCAAAGAATTGATTTTATACCATTGTTTCCACGAATGAAAGCATCACCATATTTGTTCTTAAGCTGACCATTAACCCATTCTTCAGTTTGTTCAAGAGCAATATTCATGTAACCATCCAAACAAGACAGAATTCCTTTAAAAAAAGAAATCGAATTAATCTGATGTTAAATACATAATCTTTTAATGGATTTTTTGTCGTTTACCTCGATAATCAACACCCGAATTCAATTTAACAAGTACGGGTCTACCAATGACATTATTTAAGAATTCGGTTGGTGATCTTTCTTGACTCTGCATATTTTTTTTTTTTTTTGGTTAAAAAACGTTTCGTTGATCAATGAGAATTACCTCAGAAAATACTTGTGATTATGACAATTTTGTTTTAAAGATTATAGTCACATAAAAGCTTTTTTATGATCCAAACCGAATTTGAATCGACCAATCAAAACAGAAAATTTTTTTACATGAATGATATCGTGACACAAAATAATATTTTAGGAACCTTGAAAATTTGGGTTAAATCGGGCGAAATTACATATACTATAATCCGGTATGAATCATAAATGCCGACTGATATTTTTTTTAATTTCCGCCTTTATTTCAATCTTTTAAAATATTCTTAACTCTGTGAGATCGATCAACAAAATGAATTTTTTTACTTAATCACAAATATTTTCGATTTGCCATCGTGAAAATGTTGTCGATTTTTGTTAGTTTATAGCTGAGGAAGGCAATTGACTAACTACAAAGCCAAAGATGAGAAGTATTATTCATTTAACTATAACGAATTACCCCTAGCAGATAACAATTAAAGAAATAATAATTACAGTAGTACCACAAATTTAAAATGATAGTTGATGAGATGAGGAAAAAATTAGACTATTTTCAACATAATTCGCGACTTTTTAATGAACAATTAGTTATCCCTTGTTCTACATTTACTGTTACTTCATTCATTGGATCAATTCTGCTCAAAAAACAAATTAGTATATCTTAACTAAATAATACAACTTTCTTTGTAGGTAAGAGAATCTTCAAATCAAATCCCGGGGCCATGAATTTCTTATTAATTTTCCATATTTATTTTTTCATCATTTCCATGAAAACTTCCTTCTATTACTAGCAATTTATTGCAATTGTTAATTGATTCTTTGAAATGATACAAGAAGCATAAATAACAATTGTATGGCTATAAATAAAATAAAAAATACATAAATATATATAATTGAATGCAAATCCTTTATGACGGAAATAAATAACACAAACTGTGTATCATTTTCATATAACGCATATGGTGATGAAAGTTCCTGTTTGACTTGATGAGGTTGGTCTTCTGATTTGCTTAGTACTTCTTTTTCTTGTTCCTATTAGTATAATTAGTTTAATAAATTTTGGTAGTAAACATTAAAAAGTGAGCTTATAACTAACCACTATTATATTCCTATTGCTGAACTTCCGGTTCATTTATGTTCAAAGTTTGTAAAAGGTTTTTTGCCTTATCTCGTACATATTTAAATATATTAGGATCCTGTGACGTTGCATCTAATTATTGTTTAACATTATTATTTATGTATTAATATTATTAGATAAATATTATAAGACATTCAAAGCACTTCAACTTCAATATTCTTTTGATTTAAAATAATTAATTATATATTGTTCAAATTCTATATTAAACTATAAAATAATCAAGTGATTATAGTATGAGAATTAATGCATAAGAGAAGCTCATCATAATGAAAATTACACAAGTAACAAGAATTTATATGTAATGAACACTTTAATATAGTTTTGTCTAAGTTCGACTGTTATTAAGAGGTTTCGTCCCTCATCTATAATATTGTTATAAGAAAGGAGCATAATTAAACCTTTTTCCAGATCTAATAGATCTTATAAGCAATTAAACAATTTAAAAAAATTTTAGAATTATGTAAATGCACTCAAAGCAAAAAGAAAACTTTGAGAAAGAGTTGGAGAATATAAAAAAAATTATTAAAAAATATACATCAGATTTATATTTGTTAAATAGGATTTAGAATTGGAATATAGGATATAGGATTTTAAATATAATATAAGATTTGGGATAGAATAGGATTCTATAATATAAGGTAGGATAACCAATTTTTGTGATAGTATAATACAGTGTGAGACAAAAAAATCGGAATTTTTTTTGAAAAATAAAAAGATGCAGATCTCAGCCAAATTAAGTCTGATTTGAACTATGTAAAAAGGAAAATAATTGTAAGATAAGTGAGTATATAATTTTTTTTTGTATTACTAAATATTAGAAATTTTTTTTCATTTCCTCCTCTCAATATCTTCAATTTTTTAAAAAAAACCCTAAAAATCAATTAATTAGAAACAATGACCTCTAGATAAAAAACTAATTATTAAGCGATCTTACAATTATAAAATCAGGGTATTCGGAAGGCTAGAGAAATTCATCAATGCACTAGAATTTCTCTCACGACTATATATGACAACCTTATCAAGCTTTGTAAATTTGAGACGATTCAGCATGTAGAAAGAAGTGGTCATCTAAAAAAGATTATGGCTAATGCATCAAAAGCATTAGCCCAATTTGTCTACTGGGATTCTTCTATTTTAACAAGGATCCTGTCAGTGAGGTTGTTATTGAAAGGTGTGGATGTGTCTTATAGGATAGTAGGAAGGCATTTAGCTGAAATTGGATACCAAAAAGACCTTCCAAGAGCAACACTGATGCTGACTGCAGATCATAAATGTAAACGAATAGAATAGGTCTAAAATCATCTTAATGATGATTGGGACAAAACTCTGTTTTCAGATGAGACTGCATTCTAACTGTTCTGGAATACTGTAGAGCACTAGCATAAAGGATAACAACCAATACGCCCTATACCTAAAGATCAAACAAAAATCTTTGCATAGGGAGGATTTTGTATAAAAGGAAAAACAAGTTTATATTATTTTTCTCAAATAATGAATGCTGAATTTTATGTAAACATACTCCATAGCTACCTTCCAGAGATTGAAGACTTGTTGGGAGATGAATGGCATTTTCAGCAAGACAATAATCTGAAACACACTAGCAATCATGCTAAAAAATTTCTTTGGGAAAATTTTTCTGAAGTTATTGATTAGCCTTCTAATAGTCCAGACCTAAATCTGATAGAAAACCTTTGGAGTATTATTAAAAGTAATATGAAAAAGAAAATGTCAAAGAATACCGATGATTTGCGCTGATATATGATCAAAGAATGGGACGATATTTTAAAATTGACCCTAATTGGGTTAGTAGGATCAATGAAACACCAATGTGAACTTATTATAGAAAATAATGGTGAACAAATTCCGTTCTAAAAAAATATTAATAAAATTAGCTAGTTTTTAGCTTCAAATATATATAAATTTTATTTAGTTAGTG